TTTTCTGCCATTGTTTTTCCTCATAGAAAATGAACTGAGCTCATTTTACATCCTTCAAACCTTTAGATGCGTTTACTTTTACTGCTCCGTTCACATTTTATTCTGCTTCAGCTTCTTTCAGCTTTCTTGTGCAAATCAAACATTTTCCAGCTATTTTCAGCTAATTTTAGCAGTTTTTGCTAGTTTCAGCTTGCTTCAGATAATTTCCACTTTTTTGAGCCCATTTCTTTTTCTTTCAGCCCAACTGGACAAATATGTTTTTTCTGCTTTCTTCTGCTAATTCAAGCTTGTTCTACTTTTTCAGCTATACCTTTTTAACATTTTTAGCTAATTTATGCTGTTTTTAGATAAATTCAAGTTTTTCATGGTAATTTCTACCACTCTCAGCCCAGACAACATCTTTCTGCTAATTTCAGCTTGTTATGCTCCTTTCAGATCATCATAATCTGAATCAGTGTTATTGTCATTACACAGAAGCACAATGAAATTATATTTCAGTACAGCTCATCTGAAACAATAGACAGAATAGACGGGTGTCTGAGGCTGCAGCCTCACTGAGAGGTGCTTCCTTTTCTGTTAGATTAGAAAAAAAAGATTAGAAAAAGGGGAACATGAGGGAAAAGGAGGTAAAAAAAAAAAAGTCCTATTTCACACTGTGTCCTGTTAGGGCTGCAAAGAACCCTAGCACAAAAGAGCAACATATTGGTGACATAAAGACATATAAAAAGGTTCAAAGGACAAAGAGCAGGGCAGGGAAAGGTCAGGATGGAAAAGCATCTGACATCGCCGAAAGCAAGAAAAAAGTCCATCCATCCATTTTCTTTACCCACTTATTCCATTTTTGAGTCACGGGGGTCGCCGGTGCCCATGTCCAGCAATCACTGTGCAAAGGGCGGGGTACACCCTGGACGGGTCACAAGTCCATCACAGGGACACATAGAGACAAACGAGACAAACAACCATTCACTCTCTCACTCACACCTAGGGACAATTTAGAGTTACCAATCAGCCTAACATGCATGTTTTTGGAATGTGGGAGGAAACTGGAGTACCCGGAGAAAACCCACGCATGCACGGAGAGAACATGCAAACTCCACCCAGAAAGGCCCCTGGACCGGGGTTTGAACCAGGGACCTGCTCGCTGAGAGGCAGCGGCTCTACCAGTTGTGCCACTGTGCTGCGCAAGAAAAAAGTAAGTAAATAAATAAATAAATAAATGAGTTTTAAATTATATATATATATATATATATATATATATATATAATTACAGAAAGTACTATTTAGCTGTTTTTATGCTAAATTTAGCTTTTTCAGCTAATTCCACATTCTTGGAACTCATTTCAGCTCCTTTCACTTCCTTCTAATAGTTCAAATTTGTTTTGGCCTTTTCAGCTATTTTCTGCTTTTTTTTTTCTTTTTTTTTTTTGTTTGTTGCTAATTTCAGCTTTTTTAGCCAATTTCCTAATTTTTGTGCTCATTTTTGCTCATTTAAACCTAATTCAGCAAATACGTGTTTTTTCTGCTTTCTTCTGCCAAGTTGTTATTCCATTTCAACTACATTTCAGCAAGTTTTTAGCTAACTTCAGCTGTTTTTCATCAAGTTATTCTGCAATAAGCATTCACACTGCATTTTCGCAGGAAATGCAATTTCTCTAGTTAATAACTCTACTTCATCAGTTTTGTGTTGTGTGTTTCCTTGACTGATGAAGCCTTCTGGATCGAAGGCGAAACGTTTCAGCACAAAAAAAGTAACTGTCCAGATGACCTGACTGAAAAATGTTGGATTGTGTACCTGGATTATTGAGCATGGACTTTGTTGTTTTCAACCAGTTTGACGCACTGTCAGCCCTCCATCAGTTGGTTCAGGTCTACTCGAAGAACCTGGACAACAACTAGAAAGGGACGTCTGCCATCTTTTTTATGAACCGAGCAGCCTGGTTGACCAAACAAGCTGCAAATAACCTTTAATGCATTTAGAACTACTGTACCAAAGACAACACATCAAGATGTTTTCTGTTAAAAATAAAAATAAAAAGATTTTCCTGTAATTTAATAAGATGACAACACAAATCTAAAATCGTGTGTGGGATTTTTGACAAACATCTTGAAAAGTTGAGCGAGCTCAAATCAAAGATATGAGACTTGTGATGACTTGAGCTGTGCCTTTGTTTCTCTCTCTTCCATCATCGGTACACGTATGAGGCAGGCTGATGCTTATCTTATCTCTCTGCGACAAATACTTTCATAGCCCAGCTGTTTGCTTTGTTTTCATAGTATGTTTCTGTTTTTATGTACTCTGTTTTGCATCTTACAGTTTAAAGTGCATGCGTAGTCTTGTTTTGATGTTTGACGCTTCCTCAGAACACGTCAATCCTTCGGAGGTATCACTGCAACAACATGAGATCTCGACTTAAACCTCTCCATAAACAGCAGCCTGTCATCTGGTTGTTGTCACAAACAGCACGACGCAGAGTTCTGCAGAAATGTCCACCCACACTTTTCACTTTAAACAGGGAGCACAACCAAGTGAAAGTCTGTAGATATCCATGCATCTATATCCCACTGCTTCCTTTCTGGCTCATGGGGGACGCTGGTGCAAATGTCCAGCAGCCACTGCGAGAAGCAGGGACAACTTGGACAGGTCACAAGTCCATCACATGGACACATAAAGACAAACGAGACCATCTTGAAATACAGAGGTGTTTGAGCCACAAAGCTCATCTCATTACAGTAGTCCCTCGCTACTTCGCTGCTCGTTTATCTCAGACTCGCTTGATCACAGTTTTTCAAAAAGAGAGTGGACATGACACACAACTGGCTGATTGATGGATGAGCCGCACGATCAGCATGTAATTTTTATTTAAAATAAATTATTTGACATTATTTAGTACCTCCTGCACCTTTGTGAAGCCCACACTGCAGGATAAACTTCCTGCTGCAGCTGATCAGCTGTTCTCTGTGCAGAGCGGGGAAGTGGGCGTGGCCAAGAGCGCTTGCAGGTGGCAAAGAGCAGCGGAGGCAGAGAGCTGAAATCACGACATTCTGTGTCTTTTAGAGCATTTAGAGTTTAGAAATATTGTTTAAAATATTGCAAGAGTGTGGGAAAAATTTAAAACACCATATATATATATATATATATATATATATATATATATATATATATATATATATATATATATATATATATATATATATATATATACACACTTAATATAGATTTCTTGTAACAAACGAGCAGAGTCATGTTTTTTGGCCAACATTTATGAGTCGTTTGTTTCCATTTGAACATTGATAGTGCACTTCAGATAGTCTTGGTACACAACAGATACTCTGTCGTTAAAATGTTCCCTGAATTAACAAACTCAAAGGGAGAACAATGACATCAGACATGTCACGACGAAAGTGTAAAGTTATATGTGACTTCTTCTGACAGGAAACTGTGACCTGGATCAATAAAGATGAGAGTCAAGAGGAGAAAAGTGATTTTGGGAGAGTGATAGAAAGTGTTGAAGTCGGGGTTAAGATCGTATGCAGATGAGCTGTGCAGAGAGTTTCCAACTCTTAATGAGTTTTTGCTGTTTTCTAAAACATTTCTTACAAAACACCTTGATGAGATTGAGTCACATCAACTCCTAAACAATTATTTTATTCATGTAGAAATAATTAGAAACACAAATTCAAATAAAAAGCATCTAAAACTCATGTATGACACTTACTCCGGCTATTAACAATTCACAATAACATACAGAAATATTAACAGGAAACCATGATGTCACCACAACAAAGTTCAAATCATAAAGGCCTCACCGGTGTGTGTGGTTTATTTTGTCCAAGAATAAAACCAGAATGACCTAACGCAATTAAAATAGTAATACAGTATATATATGTGTATATATATATATATATATATATATATATATGTACATATGCATGTATATATATTTTAATATATATATATATGTATATATGTTTATATGTAAAATATGTATATATATAAATATATATATATATAAAAATTATATAGTGTTGAGTTCTTGACAATGTTGTTAAATACTTGTTGTTTAAGCAAAGGATCTGAATTAAGAAGGGCAGTGTGATATTTTTGTTTTACTTCATCAAGAACATAAAACATTACAAGTTGTTCTATGAGTATTTAAAAATTGTACAAGACACAACTATGACCTATAATCAAGTGAACAAAACTCTACTGTTTTCAAGTTCTGCAGGTAATAAGTCTGTTTTTGAGCCAAATAAAAATAAAATTTCAAATTCTTAATGTCAGTTCCTGATGCATTGTTGTCATGCTGTAGTTTCAGAGAATATTTCCGGCTCCAAAATAATGAAACAAACATTTATTTACACTTTTATTGTGCCTCTAACATGACAAATGACAAAAATAAATAGTCTTATAATAATAATAAAAAAACTACATGGAAAAACATATTTAAATCCATACTTTTTAGTTAGTTAGTTAGTTAGTTAGTTAGAACACTTCCATCTTTTTTTACAAGTTTTCTTTTTCTTTAGATTGTGGAATATTTCTCTAAATAATACCAGCTCTGAAAACGTGAAGGTGCTGGTAAAGTCTTTAATCATGTCCTGATTTGATCTTATTACATTTTATCCACAGAGATTTTTACTATTAGTATTTTATTTATTTTATTGGTCACTGATGAGGCAGCCTTTTTTATTTTTTATACTACAGAGCATTTTATTAACAGCATTTTATTAACAGCATTTTATTAACAGCATTTTATTAACAGAATTTTAGTTTCACTGTCTGAGTCATAAGAAGCGCGTGCAGAGTTTATTTACAGTCAAATCCCAAAGATATAGAAATAAAATGATAAAACGCGCGCAGGCTTTATTTAGAGTGCAGGAGGGGGGGGGGGGGGGGCATCCAAGGTGTTTGAGACCGATGAGGGGGAGGTGGGTGAGGAGCTGAAGGGAGGAGGAGGAGGCAGGGAGGGCAAATTGGGCGGATATAAAAACTGTCGGGACCGTGGATGTTGGATCGTTTGGAGAGCTCGTCCTGCGCGCGGACGGTTCTGGAGACGGACAGGAGCCTGAGCCCTGGAGCCGGCCTTCTCTGCTCCCATGTCCGGGTCGAGGTGTCCCTGAAGGATTAAAGAGATGATCTGAAGAGTCCAAACTTCTCCAAGGCTCGTTCTGGCGTGTTTGCTGCGTGACGCGTGGACTGTTCTTTCACATTGCTCCGAGGAGACCTGGACCCACTGATGGTGAGAGCTCCTCTCACACTTTCACACTCATGACTGCAGCTTTTAGGAGAAAAAACATTTGATTTATTAAAGTAGAGGCTGAGTTACATATTTATTTATTTTAAATGAGGGAGTTTCTGCGCGTTTGGATGACTTCACCTCGAAGGAAAAAATTAATAAATAAATCCCCCAAAGAAAAACTGTATATATATTTTTTCTCTTTATGACTTAAATCACCCTGAGTTCAAATCAATTTAAACACACTGTGTGTTGGTGAGCATGGCACAGCTTGAAGCTTTTGTCAGTAAAGTTAGTGAGGTCATTTCCAAACAGCGCGTCAGGTTTCCCTGCGCTTCCTTTTCTCCCTGACAACTAAAATATTTATGTTCTCACATAATTTCACCATAAAAACACTTTTTTTTTTCTGTTATTAAACACCTGCGTTTACTTTCCAGCGCGCAGCCATGTGAGGTCTGAAACACAAAACTTCTTCCTGAATATGAAAGCTATTATTTCTTTTATTTCTAATCTATCAGAAAACAATCATTTGTATTAGAGCACGTTTATGTCGATGAAAGATGACGTTGATTAAAATATTGGGGCTTAAAATAACTGAGTAAATATACAATATGACTGTAATAATACCCACTTGTTGCATGTTTTACCAGTTTAAACCTTTAAATCCTGTGAAATGTTCAATGGAAAACTATTTTCAGCCTCTTGTCCTGCAGCATCATTTGCTCTGAAATTTGTTTGTTGTGCAGAGAAATGTAGTTTTTCATTTTATATTACCAGCAGAAATCAGCAGTTTCTCATATTTAATTTTTTTTTTTTTTTTTTACATCTTCTTTCCCAAAAATGCTGCTAAACTCTTAATCTAAGGATCTCACTACGTGCATGTTTAAATTAGGGGTTGCTCCCTGCTTTAATTACAAAAACGAGGATTTTGCAGGATGTTTTACAAAAATCAAAGATGGATTTTATTACTTTTTAAGCCCCATTTCAAGTTTGCACAAGGCTTTATCACCAGAAAGGCAAACAAGCATTAATTTCTGTTGCAAGAAGAGTTCTGCGTCCCTGAACAGAAACTTAAAGCATCTAGATGTTTGCATCAGCAGCTGGAGGATGAACTCAGCTCTAAATATCAGACATGTTGCTGCAGACTTATTGGAAGATAAAATCAGGCCGTAGATCTGTTCCCGTGGTAACCTATTGCACTCCTCTCCCTCCCTCGTCCTCGTTCTTCCCTCCCACCATCTCCGTCAAATTCCTCAGCAAACAGCATCTGAAGAGCCATGTGCAGAGTCTGATCACATTATCTTTGATCAGCCGGAGACAAAGAGGGGGCCGCTGAGGCCTTACTGCACCTCCTGCTCCGCATTTCTTAATTTGCCTGTAACTTTACCACCGGGGAGTTCTTTGATTTGCACCACTGGACTGAGGAGAGAATCTAAAACATGTAAGGGAAAATCATTGCAAACTGAAAATATTTGTCTTTTTTTTTATCTGTGCTGAAACAGCTCAGTAAACATGAACACACTGACTTTTTTCCAAAGCTGAAAGTTTCCCTGCGTGCACGTTCCCTTCATCATCGCAGCAGTTCACATGTGTCAGTGGCTGCTCACAGCTACAAGATGGTCAGTGTTTTTGAGTATGAATCCCTGTAATCATAGTACAGGCTCTGTTCAACGAGCGCTTGTTGTCAGGGACGTGCACGCAGCGCCCCACACACACTCCTCACACACACCCGTGGGTAATAGAGCTGATCATGTGCTGAAACCCTCCTCCTCCTCTGTGCCACCGTTCTCACGAACGTGTGGGCCGTGGCACACATTTGTGCTCAAGTACGGACGTGCACGATGCCCCTCGGCCTTTTCGCTCACCCACTAACACACACACACACACACAGTGGATCCAGTGTCATGACCGAGTAAGGAGGGTCAGACGGAGGTCAGCCTAATGCTGTTAGGGAAGAGATCCTTGATTGCACATACAGTGAGCCATGCAGGGCTGAGATAAATGCTGGAAAATACACAGACGGAAAAATGTTACACACACACACACAGAGTATTAATGTTTAAGCGTAAACTCCAAATGAAGATCAGAGACACGTTGGAGTTGTCGTTGTGGTCCCTCAGAAACTTTGAAGCATGTTTTTAATATGGTTAAAGCTAAAATGTGAACATTATCAAACTAAGGACACGATGAGCCGTCTCTGAAGACTAATTTGTTTTTTCTTGACGAGCTTCTTCGTGACTGAAGAACCTCCTTGGGTTTTATCTTAAAAATATGTGTCTGCGTTGCTCGGCTTTTATCAGAAATAGAACAAAAATGAACGTTGTGTCCACAAACTGCACGTCTTCAGGTGTAGTGCTGCAAAGAGATGAGTTGTCTGAAGGTGCATGGATGTTTTAGTGCAACAAGCTTAGTTCCTTTCATAGATACGTGCTCCTACTCCTGCTTTACTTCTTGTTGTTTGTCTTTATAACTTCTAACGAGTCTGAGTTTTTAACCTTTTGTTAAGGCCAATCAGTTTTTATTGATGCAATGGTTGGGTTGAATAAAGTGCGTTTTCTGCCTGCAGTCTGTGTTTTGGTGCATACATACCTTGTTACATTCCAAATACAGCAAATAGCTGCTTACCCACAAGCTGAAGTGATAAGCCTTAAAGAGACACGCGCTGCGGCAGCTATACACTCTCATGTGCTTTTCTGTGAGAAAATGAAATGTAACAACCTGAAGTGTTTGCAGCTGCTCTCAGATTATAGTTTCCTCATGTTTTTTTGTTTTTTTTTAATATCTTTCAGGAACAGGGTCACTCCACCGTTCTCCTGCAGCCTCCCAACACCACCTAACGTTTCCTGTAAGAACGTGCCCACTGCCTGCTCCCAACAAACATGGACTGTTTCCCCATGCTTTATTTTCTGTCGGTAAGTACGCAGCCAGCGTCGGGTCAGTTTGTGGCACTTTAACCACAAGTTTTGAAGGTGCTGCTTGAAAGACACTGGCTCCTTATCAAGTTGGGACATCCACCCCAGGGCCACCTCTTTTATTTGCCTGACTGTAGTGAAAGAGACGAGCCGAAGGGGTGGAGTGACGAGGAATGCCCCTTAAATTGCATTTTAAAAGTCGGGTTCTGGAACCAGCTGTTTACCTTTGGAGGATGTCGCCAGAGATAAACAGCAAGGGGTCTATCTGATCGTAGCCTGCTTGACTGTAAACAAAACAGACGGGATTGTTGAGGCCAATTAGTGGGAACGCTCAAAAAGAAATTCAGAACTCTAAAACAAAACTTTACTAAAAGAAAGATAAAATGTATTTTCTTCATTTTGTAATTTTATGTCTGCTAACCCTTCTGCTCAAATCATTCCTAATGTTTCATCTGTCTCATCTGCCACCCCTGCCAGAGACATCATGATTCCTGGTAATCGAATGCTGATGGTCATTTTAATATGCCAAGTCCTGCTGGGAGAGAGCAGCCATGCTAGTCTGATACCTGAAGAAGGGAAGAAGAAAGTACCTGGCCTGCAGGGTCGTACGGCCACTCAGAGCCATGAACTGTTGCGGGACTTTGAGGCCACGCTGTTGCACATGTTCGGCCTCAAAAGGCGGCCGCGGCCCAGCCGCTCCACCACAGTGCCTCACTACCTGCTGGACCTCTATCGGTTACAATCGGGTGAGGCTGAGGAGGTCGAAGGGCACAACGTTGCTTTTGAGTACCCGGAGAAGTCAGCCAGTCGGGCCAACACTGTGAGGGGCTTCCACCATGAAGGTAAGAGAAGTGGAGGGCGTTTTTTCTTTATCCACACACTCAGAAGGAAATGGAGTCATAAAAGTTAGGATAATAATAAATGTAAGAACAAGCACAAAAACGGCATCTTTCTTAGGGTTGCTGCTGGCAGACATTCAAATAGTTTTGGTAGTAGTGTGGTACTTTGGCATGGCTGCAGATAGCTGAGCTTTCATGGTTAGAAAAATGCAAGAGTTCTCCACCCATCTCACCATAACCAAAGAATCTAAGGATGTGGTTACCAAACAGCCTCTACAGAGGCTCATAAAATTCAGCTAGACAAGCTCTCCAGAGCCTAATTTGACAAAGCTCTGTGTGTTTGGTTAGTAACTGAAGGAAAAGCATACCTTCATATTACCGACTTACTCGTCTTACTCCACCCAGCTGAACACAGTTTTAAAAAACCTCTTCTTGGCTTGGAAATGTCATGTGCTCCTCTGTCATGTCTAGTTTAGAAAGACCTTCCTCGCCATGCAATTATCTTTAATGCCACTCTGCAGCCTTCTAAATAAAGTCCCCGCTGCAAACAAGGTAGGTGCAGAGAGAGAATATTGGAGTTTTGTGGAAAAACAGTCTCAGTAGCTGGTGGGACAGACACACTGAGAGGAGTCTGCTAAATATGAATGCTAAGTTTGAGCACAATCACAGACATTAACGATGAAGACAGTCCAGTTTGAGTAAGTGGGAGCTAGGTTCAGAAAGATACGCTGATGTGTTGTAAATGCTTAAAAGAGAGAATTTGCCAAGTGACAAACTGACAATACGGCATGTTGACCTGAGAAAACTGGAATAGTTGAAGAGCTACAGAAAGCGTCTGACCGTACGAGGGGTGACGAATGAGCGATGAGTCACTCGTAATGACGCTTGCTGTACTCATTGCTAGTAGTAGCACATGCCAACTTATGCTAACACCGCAGACTAGTCAGGGAAAAGAGCACCATCACCAGAGGGGCAGCTTTTGTCTGTGATGCAATGTGAGCTTTTGGATGGGTTTGAACTTCTTCAAGCGTTCCCTCTCCTTCTCCTCTTTGCTGAACAATCTTAATGACAGGCTTTAAAGCAGTTTGAGTGGGCGTGCTCGCTTTTATGGAAGCACGGCTGTATGATGGTGTGACTCAGTTGACTGATCTCTCAAAACCACAGGGACGTATTACAGTCTGCAGCAGATGGACAGTTGGACGGAGAGGCATGTTTACAGCAGGAAGGGCAAACCGTTCATCGTGCATTCGACCTGAAAGATGTTGGTTTTTATTGACTGGGTGTGACAGAAATCACATGCTTTACCATTACTTGTTCAATTTAACAGAGCAGATGAACCATGAGGAGTGTGTGTGCACAGATTCAATCCTGACTACGCTTTGGTTCAAAATACAGTGCACAGCATTCCCACGCAATACCTCCATCCCCATGAGCTTTGGATAAATGAGATTCTACTGTATTGTCTGACTCCTTAATGATTATTCATGATGAAAATGATAAATGTCTTAAGTGGACAAACTGCCGAGCTAATCAAAAGCACAGCAGGTTTTAATAATGAGAACCACCTGGGTAAGATTAGGGCCTGGGTGTGAAATAACAGGGGTGGATTGAGCAGGAAAATAGTAGACACAACATTCCTTTCCCCAACAATGGTGATCTTGCCAGAAATCTGCAGACTGAGAGTGGAACAGGGAGCCTTCACTGTGTTTATGCTGTAGTTGTGGTACGTTAATCACCACCCTCCTTGTAATGCATGTTTCAGCAAAGTGCTCAAAGAGCGGCACAGAGAAAAGGACAGGAAAATCTTTACAAAGATAGAGAAGCCTGGACAAAACCAAGTAAAAGTCTTTACTACCCTGGTACAGGGTCTTTTTTTCCCCACTTTATTTTATTTGTGTGTCAAGCTTCTAAAGCATTAACTGGTAAATTTATAAAACATCTAAATCATTTCTAACTACACTTTTCTTCTTAGAAGGATTATGAGCATGCATCAGGACATTTCTTCGGTTTTAATTGGCACAAAAATACAATAAAATCACACTTCATACTATAATTTTGAAAAAGTGCAAATAGCTGCTAAAGCTTGAAGAAGTTTTTTTTTTTTTGCACATCTGATCTGTACAAACTTCCCACACGTTTCCTTTTGCTCAATTTCAGAGAGCATGGAGAGGATCCATGAGCTGGGTGATGGAGAATCCATGCCTATCCGCTTCCTGTTCAACCTCAGCAGCATTCCAGAGGATGAGTTGCTGTCGTCTGCAGAACTGAGGCTCTACCGCCATCAGATTGATGAAGCCATCACTGACAATCTCATGGATGAGCAGGGCCTCCACCGGATAAACATTTACGAGGTTTTGAAACCCCCACGGCCCGGGCAGCTCATCACGCAGCTTCTGGATACGAGGCTCATGCGGCACAACTCGTCGCGCTGGGAGAGCTTCGACGTCAGCCCCGCCGTGTTGCGCTGGACTCGCGAGGGCCTCCCTAATCATGGACTGGCTGTAGAGGTTTTGCACCTGAACCAGACTCCGAGCCACCAGGGCCGCCACGTCCGCATCAGTCGTTCAGTTCACCAAGAGCCCGGGGAGGACTGGGGGCAGCTACGCCCTCTTCTGGTTACCTTTGGTCATGATGGGAAGGGTCACCCGCTGACCCGACGGACCAAGCGCAGCCCTCCCAAAAGGGGTCGTAAACGCAACCGCAGCTGCCGCCGCCATGCATTGTATGTGGACTTTAGCGATGTTGGCTGGAATGACTGGATAGTGGCGCCCCCTGGTTACCAAGCCTATTACTGCCACGGGGAGTGTCCCTTTCCTCTGGCAGACCATCTAAACTCAACCAACCATGCCATCGTTCAGACATTGGTGAACTCTGTGAACAGCAACATTCCCAAGGCCTGCTGTGTACCAACAGAGCTCAGCGCCATCTCCATGCTCTATTTAGACGAACACGACAAGGTTGTTCTAAAAAACTACCAGGAAATGGTTGTGGAGGGCTGTGGCTGCCGCTAGCACATGAAGCTACCACGACCCGGACTCAGAGTGGCGTCATAAACAAAAGAATGCGGACGCCAACACTATTCAGAACTTTTTTCCCAAAAATGATCACTTGGACCATTATTTATAACTTTTATGAGTTGTATGTTTGTCTCACTTTTTTGTTTCTTTGACAATATGATCATATATTTTGACAAAATATATATATATTTATATCTACATGTTAAAAATAAATTGAGTCCTTATTTTAAACATAAAAATGTTGTTTAACTTTTCATAATGTACATTAGATTGTATAAGTTTTTATTGAAAAAAATAGTAAAAAAAAAAATCTAAAATTTGAAGTATATTTACTGGTAATATTTATTATTTTTATATCACACAATTAAAAGAAGAAAAAAACCCCATTGCATTCATGATTGCAGAACGCATTTAGTCATATCATGCACACCATTTTTGTGTTTAGCAAAAATGCATGAATTTGTTTTTGTTTGTTCATATATATAGGCTTTATTTAACATTTTACCACAAAAATCAAACTGATTACTATATTTTCCGGTGTATAAATCGCAGTTTTTTGCATAAACTAGCATGCGACTTATACAGCGAAGCAATGTATTTGTTTTTTCCCCATATTTATAACCCAATTTTTGGCTGCGATCTGAAGATTTCATTCATTTTGACTTGGAAAATATTGAACACTACCATTTTCAGCCATTAGAGGGCCCTCGACTAATATGGCAAGCCAAGTGTCTCATTAAAACATAAACATGGCTATTAATGAGACACTTGGCTTGCCATATCAAGCCACCTTTGTCTCGCATCATTTCTCCACGCCGCCCAGGAGAAATGCAGCTGATTCGACCATGAAAGTGCATTTATTAAGGAAAAGTTAGACTGAGACTCACCTTTACTATACTTTCAAAGCAAAAAATATTGTTTGCAAGTGTTAATCTTGTTAAATTCTTGAGGCTGAGATGCGGTAGAGGCAAGGCAGCCGACTCAGGAACCATTGCACACCTCGTGGTGTCTGAGCAGCACACCCAATCCCCAATTACTCCCCGGGCGCTTTCAATACCTATCCACTGCTCCACCTGGGTGTATCCCAGGTATGATGGGTTAAATGCAAAGAGCCAATTTTGCCATTGTATGGAAACACACAATGATGACAACACATAACAAATTATTATTGTTATTAAAGTCCTCCCGTGCACGCTCCTGTGGCCACCATTTGGCAGCCAGTCGATTTTTGGCACAACACCGGCCCACGTTTCCGGGTTGTCAGTGGTGACGCGAAACAAATGCGACGCGTCAGTGATGACGCATAATAGAGGCGACATTTTTATGGATTTTTCCACTTTATTAGACATATTTGGACTGACGTGACTTATAGGGCAGTGCGACGTGTACGGTGAAAAATACGGTACTTAAACTAGGTCCTTAAAAGAAGTATTTCTTATCATAAAATGTGTAATCACTATTCAAAAAAAAAAGAAAAGGACGAAAAAATAAAAGTTACTCTAAATGTCTAATACTTTTGTAACTTGATTTTGGATTTAAAGTTAGTTTTTTGCATCCTAAATCCATTTCAGATTGTCTCCAACCAATTTTTACTCAGTAAGGGACTTGTTTGGAGACGTTCTGCATCCAACTAGAAGAAGATGGTTTTTAAAAGGCACTTCACCAATTCTGAATTAACCGTTAAAGGATTATTTTAATTGTCATGTGATTTTTCTCAACCAAACTGACGTTAAAAGAACATTTTTGCCATTTCAAAGCTGCTAAGTCTTTGAGGTTCAGGACCTAATTGTTCTCAGATTTCACTTTCATGTCAATTAGGCCAACATGTGTTGGTTGGGTACTTGCTAATCCAATTGCAGTTGGGTTTTGTTGCTCAGCCTGACTGTGTGTGGGTGATTCTATTGTTCTTGACGTCCCCACATCGGGGGCATGATTACGTTTGATGCGTTATGCCCTAACACAAGGCGGCTGCGTCCTCAGAAGAATCAAAGGTTAGACGCTCTGTCTCCTGCCTTTGTCTTCAGCGGCTCATGCCGGCAGGGCAAAGACGCCTGTCTCCAACCTGTGCCCCATCACACAATAGGTTTCGACATCACTTATTTACAAGCTGAAGGCTGGCCCAAATTATATGATAATGTTTAAGACTCCTTTGAACTGCTGGGGGGATGTTGGTGGGCTTTGTCTCCTGAAGTATGTGCCCGTGCCTCTTGAACCAGAATACAAAATTTAAATATTAAAAAAGCACAAAACTTGAGTTTTTATCCATTATGGTAATAATTACAAAAATTATAGACTTAAAAATATAAAAATGCAGTTAAAAACACATTTTTTTCTGAAGTCAGAGCTTATTTTTTAAATTAAAGACTGATTACAAGGAATGTTTGCTAAGTTTTCTTTGATAAAAGTCAGTAACGTTTTGTTAGTTTTCCTACACGAGCGTGCTCAGGCCCATCATGGCCCCTGGACGTCTCTTTGATGCTGCATATCAGCATCAGAAAGGGCTGTCTCCTGAAAGAAGGGCAGACAGAAGAATCTCATTTAGAAGTGGCTGAAGGCGGAGAACGACAGGCTGCAGGAGGCTGGGAGGTACAGGAGGTGATGCACCCCTCTCTCCTCCCCCCCTCATTGAACTGAAGCACACTGCAATTACAACATTTCAACTGATCTACGCTGAGATTGAATCGGCTGGTCGTGGTAATCGTCCTGCTCGCTCATTATCCCATCGCTCTGCACAGATGGAGGATGTGTGTTCATTAAAAATTCCAGAGAAGGACATTTATAGTGATGCTTCACATTATCTAATGTTGGGTTCTGTGAAAACGTTATGGGCAAATACTATCTTACCAGTTACAGATAGCTCTTTAAGTGGTAAATCTGGTAAATTGACCAGCCTCATAAAATAGTCATGAACTACGTTGAACTAAGTTTGCTTAAAGTTAGACGTACATGTGATTGTAAAGGCTGTGAAAATAACTCCAGTGATGAGTGGTTGGTGAAGGTAAGTCAACCATTCTACTGAATGCAGAATGTGGACATTATGTTCTCAAATACATTTCTTCAAAATTATTAGTTTTTTTAATTTCCATTTTTATTTACCGGTATATGTTGTTCCAAAACACTATAACCACAAATTAGTTGCATTAGTTGCATTAGTTGCAAATTAGTATTGCATTTCATTATTTCAGCAGCTAATTGTCTATACTGTAATAAAACTTGTCTAGTCTAGGGCGGCTGTGGCTGAGTGGTTAGAGCAGTCGTCCTCCAATGCAAGAGTTGGGGGTTCGATTCCACCAAGAGTCACATGCCGAAGTGTCCCTGGGCAAGACACTGAACCGCAAGACACTGAACCCCTCGTTGCCTGCGATATGTGTCCCATCAGTGTATGAATGTGATAAAGCTCTGATTAGTCTTTGTACAGATCTAGTAGAGTACTATATGAATGGGTAAATGAGGCACATATTATGTTGTAAAGAGCTTTGAGTATCTTGATAAGATAGAAAGGTGATATATAAGTACAGTCCACAATTTAAGTTCCAACAAATTTAAGCCAGATCCTCTGGAAGATTTCTGTTTTGTTGAAACGTTTCATCTTTAATCCAAAATACATAATCAGTCTGAGGAGCCACAACAAACTCAGTCTTATTAATTCAACCTTTATTTATGCAGGTTAATCCCATTGAGCCTCGGAGATTCATTTACAAGAGAGACCTGATTTCAACAAAGAGTGATGACAACATTGGATAACAATAGACAATCATAAAGGATGCGTACAAATTGAGAATTTTTTTTATTATTATTTTTTAACAAGGGAAAATAAAATGGCATTTAAAAGAAAATATAACAAAAAACAGTTAGGTTGTGGGTCATGTAGAAAACTAAAAACAGGAACATGTCTGCATTGGTTTTCCCCAGGAAATTATCAGATGTTTGAAGCCACTTGAGAGAGGTCAAGGTCGAGAGATTCAGGTCTTTTTGTAAGATATTCCAGGAAACAGGAGCGGAGCAGGAGAAGGCCTTTTTGTCTAGTTCAGTCTGCACTGAGGGAACACTGCAGGTAATAATGTCCTGAGAGCGCACGCTGTAGCTGCACTCACGCAGAGACATGTAGGAGGAGATGTATGAAGGCAGCAGACCAAGAAGGGATTTAAAGATGAAAATGTACCAGTGAGAGAGTCTGCGTGACGTTATTGATGACCAGTTAACCAGTGAATACTGGGTGCAGTAGTGGGTACAATAGTTACAGCTAATTATGAATCTTAGTGAACCATGATAGTCAGCATCTGCAGGGTTCTTGTAGGAGCGTTCATGTAAATAATGTCACCGTAGTCAATGGAGGGAAAGAAAGTCGCATTTGCAAGGTGTTTTCTAGCTTTTAGAGTTAGACAGGATCTATTTCTGAAAAAGAAACCCAGTTTAACTTTCAGTTTCTTTACTAGGTTTTCTACATAAGCTTAAAAGAGAGATGTGGATTGACCAAGATACCCAAATATTTATAGGAATCAACAAACTCAATAGGGACACCATTCGAGGATAAACTCAAAGGAAGAACTGCTGGGACTGAGCTGAGTGAAGCTGACACCCCACCCACTTCCAAAATTAAAGCAACTAGTCTGAATGGTTAGTGCTCCGTTAGTGCTGGTTTGTGCCGTTAAAATTTTCGTTAGTGCTGCTTTGCTTTCTGGGATATTAAAGATTAATTTTTAGCTCATCCAAAGGTCACAATCCCCCTATGTTGCTCCAAAACACACGGGAGCGGTCTACTTTTTTAGTGCTTCGTTAGTGCTTCGTTGGTGCTCGTTTGTTCCGGTGAAACTAGCGTTTGTGCTGCTTTAGTTTATGAGATATTAAGAATTATAATTTCGCCCGATGACGTCACCATCCCCCCCCATATTGCTCCGAAACGGACGGGAGTGGTGACGTCATCGGGCGAAATTATAATTCTTAATATCTCATAAACT